ATTATAGGGGACTAAGAGGTCCACCATACTCTCATAAGGGTTTTTAGGGACGTCTCGTTCACACGTTTGCCTCGTACATTCCATGTTCGACTGTAGGGACAGAAAAGAATAGGAGGGGGTAAGTTGGTACGCACTAGAAATGGACCCACTCCATAGAGAGGAGGACTCGTCCCCGTCCATTCTAGACTCCTCAGTCTCGGGCGAATGGCCGACCTCATGAGGAGAAACGGACGAAGCCGAGTGTTGAGTCAGTTCGTGTTATAAGAGCAAAAACAAGTAAAAGAAAAAGGGAAGAAGTAAAGAAGAGCAGGCGGTTACCTCCGTACGTGTAGAAAATGATGAATGTCTTTGAAAGTCTTGAAGGTTAATCAGAAAACTCAAAAATCTGACTGAAAACCTCAAACATACAGCTGAACTCTCGAAGAATTGAAGGAAGATTACTTTCTCTCTCTAAAGGGCTCTAACTTCTCTTTAAAATTCTTAAGTTTCTAAAGTGCCAAAATGAAGTCAACCACCTTCTATTTATATTCCGAATTTATGGGGGAAAAATGGTAAAACCAACTTTTCCGCCCAAGAATTTGAACAATAACTTTTCGAAAAAGTTTAAACGGCTAAAAATCGCTCCGTCATCCAAGACGGGAAGAAATACGGACACTCTAACGGCGCGTCAAAATGGACGGCCATGTCAGCGGGATTCGAACCGCCACTCCAAAAAATACGGAGGACAGATGTTCTCTCTCACGCCAGTCAGCACAACCCTTCCACCCGATTGAAGACTTAAAAAGTCCTCCAAAAAGAAATCAGGCGGACCAAACAAGGCGTCCAGCCCAAAGGAGAGATCCCTCTGATAGACGGACGTAACTGTCCGCCCTCTATAAATGAAGAGTGCTCAAAAAGCCTAAAAGTACTCGGACGTATCCGGACAAGTAGAAGATCAGAGGAGGCGGCCCGTATGGTACGAGTCACCACCTCTAAGGGGCAAATGTTTAGGGTAAAAAAATACCCCAACACGTGGTCCAATCCCATAGTGACACGTGGCCCAGTTAAAGGGCGACATGTGTCCCTATAGGAAGATGACACGTGTCAAGAAACACAAAGAACACCTGAAATGAGCGCAAAGGGCCTCCTTACATCAGGAGGCCCAAATCCCGAGAAAGTCGCAAAACGGCGCCCCTCTTATGACACGTGCCAGCACCTAATTACGCCGCCGATCAGGGCACGAAATTTCTAGGGGAACAATTCCCCACCCCTATAAATACCCCAATCATTTACGATGGGAGGGGTGGATGGGGACATAACATAAAAAAGAGCATTAAGAGCTCTCGCTTCTCTCTACTTTCTCTCTCTATCTTTTTTGTTTCCAATCACTAACTTGATCATCGGAGGCGAATATTCCAGTAAACAGTATCCCGAGGGAATCACAAAAAACCCTGAAACAACAGTCATCATGTTCTTCATTATACTCATTTTCTTCCTTGATTATTTCTACTATTCCTTTGTTATTGCCTAAAGCTAATTCCAAAGCCTCATCTTCTGGTATTTCTATGTAGTCCCAACTGCCTAAAGCTTCCATTAATTTATGATTAGCTTTCTTACATTCATTAGAATAGTGTCCTGATTCTCCACAAGACCAACATTTGCATGTTTTCTTTTCTCATGACAATATGTTGTTTTTCTGAAAAACCTACTGGGTTTTCTATATTTATTTATAGTACTTCTTCTTATAGGCTTCTCCTCTTGATCTATCAAATTTATTTTTCTTATATTTTTTCTTCTTGTTATAATTTTTTTCTTTCACATCCACAGCTATTTGGGAAATCCCAACAAGTGAGAAAGTGTCTCTTCATTTATTGAGTTCCTGCAACCTCTCTACATTTCTTTTCAATCAATTTTCTTAAGAAAGCAATTCGGTTGCCTAGGGCATCTCTAGCTATATATTTTTCTCTCCATTCTTGATATTTTTCACTGATTTCTTCATTAAGAGGACTTGGTAATTTATCATAGAATATTCCAAGGTTTGTTTCATTTTCACCAATTTTACAATAATACGTTTCAAACTCCGTAATGTAACTCTGAACATATTTCATATTACAGATGGAAAGATTACTTAATTTTCTTTGATTTTCCATTCGTTTTTCATTAAGGTTAGCTCTAGGACCAATGAATTCTAACTCGATGTTTTGACATAAATGTCTAAACATTCTAGTAGGAGATTCACTAGTTCTTAATTCGGTTTTAACTTCTTCATCAATACCATCATACCAGTATTCTATACAGCTATAAAAGCTTTGTTCAATGTAATTCAAGAAATTTTCAAAAGTCCATTCAGTGCTTAGGTTAAGTACACTACTCATGCTCTTTTTTCAATGATCTAAAACATCTTGTCTATCTCTTGCCCCGTCTAATTTAAGCTTATAACCAATTTGGCTTATGGGTTCAAGGGTTACTTCTTCTTGTTTAGGTATTTGATTAGGCATAACCTTGACACTAAACCGAGTAGTCTTCCCTGGTATGTATCTTGGTCGTGTACAACTTCCCTCTCCTTGATACCTAGGTCTTTGGATAACATTATTTACATTATTTATAATTTCTTCTCCAACGTCATTATTATTATCCATTACCCTTTTACCTAGTTTATTGTCAATCTTTTGTTGAACAACTTCAATAGGTAAAAAATCTAAATCTTCTAACTTCATTAATCCCATTTGTTGATATAAATCTTCTTCTAATGTAACATAATTATATTCTTCTATTTCATTATTAGAAACAATCCCTTTTTCAGAAATTATTTTCATAATCTCATTCAGTTTATCAGGGTCTTCTTCTTTATCAAATAAGGTTTGTAATTCTTCAATCGTTTTCTCCTGAAGATGATGGCTCATTATTAGTTTCTTTGTTCTTTTCCTTTTCACTAGTGGTTCTTTTAGGGAGTGATACCGAAAATTTCTTATTTTATCTAGATTCTGAAAAGGATATTTATATTTATAAGGATCAATCTTTTCTTTATTAGGTGATACTTCTTTGTTAATCTGATGTCTAACTTCGTTTGTTAAAGCAAGTTGTACTTGTTTAACTTGTTCTCTTAGCTCACTTAAATTTTTATTAATATCAGATGTTGTTGCTAACAACTTATTTTCAATTTTCATAACGACAATGTATGCTATCAACTTCTACTTTTAGTTCTCCAATTTGATCTACTATATAATTAAGGACTAGACCAAAATTATTAGTATTTTCAGGAATATGATAGTAGTGCTTAAAATCGGGTTTCTTACACTCTCCAGTTTTACTTAGTTAAATAGCAACTTGGCCCTGATACTAAATCTACGCAGCTTAACAGTTCCTGATTTATAATAACAATATTATCTTTCTTAATAACAAATTTCACTTACACAATAACAGTATACAAATATAACACTTTATTTCTAGTACAAATACTTAGTCGATCTTTTAATATATAAGTACTACTGGAACGAGCAAAATGACACCTCAAAAACAATATTGAACAAACATATAACAATATTAAGTTTATTATAACAAGTTCAAACGTAAAATAACATTATTAAAATAGAAATGATGTTTTTCCAATACTTAGAGGTTTTTTTTTTTTTTTTTTTTAAGTAGGTATGAACCTTTGTTGTCCATATCTGATAGTGGGCTATACTTACTCAGTGCTCATGTAGGAGCTCTTTTGTTGTATTATGGAAGCTGTTGAACATACCAACTAAGCTGGCCTGGCCTGTTGGAGATGGCTCTAATTAGCTATCTAGATGTCAATTTCATTAGCCTATTGCCATATTTGTCTCAGATTTTGGGTGACCCTTACTCCCTTAGTTTTCGTTTATGCTAGCATTGTATTCATGCATGCTGTCAATGCTAGCTTTGTTTCTTTACTTTACTTAACAGAGGTCATATATTATGTTAGTGTTAATACTTATAGAGGTCACTTTTGAATAGATAGGTACAACTAATAAACAAAAAGTTCAGATAAATTGTAAGAAGAGTTTTATTGTTCTATTCAAATCCATCACTATTGGATAAGTATAAAAATTAAAGTTTAGATGAAGAAACTTACAAGCATGGCAAATTGGGCAATTGGTAGGATTGGCTTATGGCATGACACAACTTGGTCCATCACGTTAACAGCATGCATGGAGTCGAGTAGGCATGACACATTATGGTCCATGTTGGGTCGTGGGTTGTATTTAGATCATAATAATTAAAAAGCACGACATGATAAAATAAGTGAAATTTGGTTTAGACATATAACAATAACAATGATACATGGGCTTGAATTATGCCTAAAGCAATTATTCAAAATATTCAACACAACGCGAAGGACATATATCTAATGGGTTATGCTTAACCAACTCTTAAACATGAAGTTACAGAGGTTCAACACACGACACGACTCACAACTACCTTTACACGCTAATTGAAACCTTGAAAATATTCTTTTACATACTCAAAAAAGTTTTGCCATCGAATCCAATCCCCAAGTGATGTAGGACCATCAAATCAAGCGTACTAGTCATTGTTAATTAAGTCTTCAACTTCCATAATTTGCTCAACTAAAAAAATTTAGATATTTTCCATAGAAACCTCAAAACCACGAATTCACCCAAAAGTAACAGTTACAAATAGTGACATTCATCCTAACATATGACTACTGACTAGATCTTGTGGGTCCCACTTTCCATTTGCATTCTTCAAATCCTAATTTTCCTTTACAATCAACCTCACCTTTAATTACTACACTAATCTACCCTTAATATCCTATCAAAAGACACGTGTCAAATACTCACCACTAACCAATACTTAACATCTCACAAATTACACGTGTCAAACTCGCAGCATTACACCTCACCAACCTATAGTAGACTCATGATCACAAGATCCAACCCCCTTTGCTAAAAAAAGTAAAAAAGTAGATGGACCCACCAAACCAAAACTTAGATAAGAAATAAAGAAAAAAAAGGTTCATGAACCTTTCCATTTTTCCAACTTCCAATCTATTTTCTTGAAGAAGAAATTCACCCCCTTTTTTAATTTTTTAATTTTAATTATTTTATTTAATTATTGGGAAAGATGAAATCTTTGGAAATAAAAGAAAGCAGGTGGTGGTTTGGCAGGTGGTTTTTGCAACATGAAAAACAGAAGCAAACACAACACCCTTCAACTGGAAAATACAACACATTTTCTGATCTGTTCTTCCTTTTATGCTCTTCTTCTTGGTAATATTTCTCTTCAATCTTATAATTTTAAGCTTTATTTATTTATTTTATTACATTTTCTTTAAATTTTTTTCTTATTTAGTTGAAATTTAATTAAGTTGATTTGTTTGGTTGGTTTAGATTTCATTCTTGTTGCTATTTTTTCCATTTTTCATTGAATGTCTTAGTCTTAAGATATTATTTTTGGTGGGATTTTAATTTCTGTATTATTTTGTGGGTTTGTAATAATGAATCTAGTAGCCTGAATTGGGGAAAAAGATTTGATTTTTTATTTTTCCCTGGATTTTTGGGAAGGAGTGTATGATGCTTGGAAAAAATTGAGTAGAGGATGGATATTGGATAGGGTCACAATTTTTTGTGCCTGTATATGTGTCAGAGATTTATGATTTGGGTTGTTTGCATTGGAAAGGATATGGGGAAATCCTGCTTTAACAAAAGTGTTTGATGGTGATTTTTTTAAGGCAATATTCATTGTTGCCAAGACGAGTATAATTGCAAGGAAAATGTTGCTGCTAAATGTTAGTCTTGGCTGCGACGAATATTGTCTTGGAAAAATTCTTGCCCAAAGCTTTTGTGTAGTGCAAAAGTCATCCTCAATGCTCCCTGATTGAAGACAAATATAAGCATTTTAGTTTCTAAAGCTTAATTTTTATAGAATATTAAGCATTGAAACACGGAGGAAAGGGAATGGAGAGAGGGGATCATGTTTGATGTTTATTGGAGATAAAATCATGGTTCATGTTGTCGACCCGGGATTAAGGCTTCGTTTTTTTTTTTATTTTTGGTTGGTTGTTGTAATTACGCATTGAAACATATTTTCGTTTTTTGATTTGGTGTATACTATGCTAGTGTGCTGTTCACTTGAATTGGGGGAGGGGGGGGGGGGTTGACATTGTACTTTCCCTTGTTTGCCTTAGTGTTGGACTTGACCACGTACTGAGCCTTTGTATTGGATATAACAATTTAACCTCCAGAAATGTGGTGATTTTTCCTAAATAGGCAAAATATACACGCACAAAATCTCTATTTCTACTTACTGGTCACTTCTCTTGTCACGTCTCCTTAACATACCATCAACTAAGGTGGTCTTTTTTGGGTGAGGTAATAGCAGGAAAACATTAGTGCAAGATTTTGAACCTTGTTCTCTCCTTTATGTTATTGAGAGTAATCTGCAATTGAAACACCCAATCCACGAGTTGTGGACTTACAATGTGTAAACAGACGACTCCTTTTGCACAGAAAGCAAATATCACCAGGATTATTCTTTTAGTCTCTTCTCAGCAGTCTATTATGGTATATTTGGTATATTGGCTTTATCCAAGACCCTAGTCGATACTGAGGTTTCAACCTTATGTATTACTCTTTGGTCCGAGTTTTACACGTTAGTTATAATTGGTTGAATGTTGAGATCTTGCAAGGCTAAAGATATTCCAAATTGAAGAACTACTTTATAAAGTTTATGGTTTTGACAGATATTCAAGAAAAAAATTGCTTCCAAACTTTTATTAGTGTTTTAAATTGTCTGCCTGCAATTGTACCGTAAATAAAACGCTCCTTAATTTCTGCTTTCAGGCCTCTGAGTTGGAATGTGCTGGTGGGAATGCTGATCAACATTGGGAGCAATGGAATATGTTTGAAATCAATATTTGATATGTTACACATCTTCTCAAACCATCTACGATAGCCTTATGATACATGCAACACTTTCTGGAATGGGTTTAGAAGCAGGTAGCACTGATGAAACTGTAAGCGTGCTAGATGAACTATGGCCTCTTGATGATATTGATCCGGTGAAGTCGAAGTTCCCGTGTTGTTTAGTTTGGACTCCACTTCCAGTTGTCTCATGGTTGGCACCTTTTATTGGACATGTTGGCATATGTCGAGAGGATGGCTCTATTCTTGACTTTTCCGGGTCTAATCTTGTAACTGTAAACGATTTTGCATTTGGTGCAGTGGCAAGATATTACCAACTTGACAGAAAACAGGTATTGCCCTGCTAATTTTGACTATTTCCACCAGCATTATTTTGAGGCTGTAAATTCCTGTGCTATAATTAGGATTATTGAGAATTTATAATTACAACTTATATGTATTATGTACAACTTATATGTATAATGAGAGAGCATTATTGCTTGTTTTCTACCACTTGTTTATTACGGAGTATTATGTACAACTTATATGTATAATGTCTTGTTATTAGGCAAAAACTTTATCTCAAACAATGTTATCTGTTTAAAATATACTGCAAGTTATGTTTCTTCAAAATGGTATGCTTATCCTTTTACTTGCAATGCAGTGATATAACATTAAACAAATAATTAAACAGCCTGTTGGTAAAATCTTTCAAGGTCAATGTCAAGGTTGCCTTATGATTTTATGAAGCTAGAACCTAATTTTAACCATATAGTTTATCTGATATAATCTTTAAGATCTAATTTTGTTTTTTCACTTGGAACTTGTTTTGAAAAATTGATGGAGTTTGGTTGATATACTTTGATGACTATGGAATATTATTGTGCATTCAATTGGTGGGTATCTGTTTTGGTTTTTTATTTTTTGTTAGAATTACTTGTCTCTCTGTGTGGAAGAAATAACTTGGAAGATGATCATATATTCATTTGACCCTATTTGTGTTGTTTATTGTAGTGCTGCTTTCCTCAGAATTTATCAAGGCACAAATGCGAGCAGCGCTACAAACATCATGAGCTTGGTACTGCTATATCTTGGGATGACGCTCTAGAAACAAGCTTGCGACACTACGAGAACAAATCGTACAATCTCTTCACGTGCAATTGCCACTCATTTGTGGCCAACTGTCTGAATCGCCTTTGCTATGGTGGATCAATGAGCTGGAACATGATTAATGTTGCTGCAGTGGTCCTATGCAAGGGAAGATGGGTGGATGGCATGTCAGTCTTAAGATCCTTTTTGCCTTTTCTAGCAGTGCTGTGCCTCGGCATTTACATGGTTGGCTGGCCCTTCTTGATCGCACTGCTATCTTTTTCTCTCATGCTTCTTGCTTGGTTTGTGGTAGGAACCTATGTTGTCAACAACATACTAGAATGCTAGGTGATTGGAGATTTGGTAATAATAATTCAAACTTTTGTAAGCTGTAAATGGCAGCATGGTACAGGTAGACATTTTGTAAGGTTGCAATTATAAACTATATGGAAGGTTGGCATTTTTACAGGGGATTGAAGGGATTTTTTTAAAAATTTCGGCGTTGCACAGACATTGATTCCATCTGGCTCTTTATGTTTTGCATTGATACCTCCTCATGACAAGCTCAGAACACAAACTTCCAGCCATCTCCGAAACATTATTAAGAAAAGGATAATTAGTAAATTACCACCTAAAAATGTACCTGCTTTTGAATTAAACATCCGTTTAATTTTTTATTTTATTTTATCACCCCTTAAATTAAATAATCACTCAGATTACCACCCATTTTAAAATTCCGGTGGTTTTCCGTCTGTGGGCCCCACCTAACAGGTGGTAATTTAAAAAATTTCCCCATATTTTCATTTTTTCTCCTTCTTCCTACCTTCTTCAACCTTCAATCCTCCATTTTTCTCTAACCTTTGGACAAATTTTTCTTCTCCCCCCTCCCCCACTTTCTCTCTCCTCCATTGTTTCTATCAAAATGATGAAAAATTCTTCAAATTTAAGCAACAAAGCTTGGAGTATAGCTTCTTTAATGGCGGAGCTCCCTCTTTCTCCTTCCTCTTTTAATTTAATTAACAACTTTTGTAATTAAATCTGCACCCTATCTCCATTTGAGCATGTTACTAACTTCATCATTATTAAACAACATTTTCATCAAGAGAATAAAATGCCCATGTCTGATTTCAGAAATTTCTAGCTGTCAAAATATAAGTATGAGTGGGCATCTTTCTTTAATTCACATTGTACTATATCATTGAGGGTTCAAGATGGCTTATTGGCAATGGGAGAAGTGTCTGCTTGTGGGGTGACAAATGGATACCCCTGTTTCCTGGAAATAGAATTTCATCGAGTTCAAGACCTCGGAGATTTACTCTCTGAGTTTGAAGTGGCAGCTATTGCAAAGATAAGGATTTCTAAAGTGGTATATGATTGGAGTTGGGATGATCGTCAGAGATGATGTTGGGGATATCATGATGACTGCAAGTATGGGTATCTCTATTGCGTGCTCCCCATTAGAAGCTGAAGCTTAGGCTATTATGTTTGGTCTCAATCTGGCGTATGATGCGAGGTGCTTTGTATGTTGTAGGAATGAGGAAACAATTGATCATATATTGCGTAGATATCCGGCATTGAGAGATGTGTGGAGAAGGTTGAGTCTTCCATCCCATTTGATAGACATAAACACTAACTTAAGAAAACCCCTAATTCTATTAAAATAAGAACCCTAATTTAAGAAAACCCCCAATTCAATTGAAGCATGAACCCTAATTTCAGAAAAACCCCAATCCAATTATTACAAAAGTTGTTAATTAAATTAAAAGAGGAAGGAGAAAGAGGGAATTCTGCCATTAAAGAAGCTATACTCCAAGCTTTGTTGCTTAAATTTGAGGATTTTTTCATCATTTTGATAGAAGAAAAATGGAGGAGAAAGAAACTAGGGGAAGGGGGAGAAGAAGAATTTGTCAGAAGGTTAGAGAAAAATGGAGGATTGAAGAAGGTTGAAGAAGGAGAGGAAAAAAATCGAGGGATAAAATGAAAGTATGGGGAAATTTTTTAAATTACCACCTGTGTTAACTGGGGCCCACAGACGGAAAACAACCGGAATTTTAAAATGGGTGGTAAACTGAGTGATTATTTAATTTAAGGGGTGGTAAAATAAAAAAAAAAAAATTAAACGGGTGGTTAATTCAAAAACAGGTACATTTTTGGGTGGTAATTTACAAATTATCCTTAAGAAATAGCATCTAATGTAAAGAACAGGTTCCATTAAAAAAATTGATATTGGTTTTTTTTTTTTTTTTTAACAAAAAATGATATTGGTTAATCACACAGGATATGAGCAATGCCAGAACAATTTTGGACAGAAGGGCGTGCACAAAATTATGCAGAATATAGCCCAAGAAATTAAAATAGAAATAACTGAGATGAAAACAAAACGTTGTGACAAAAATAAACAACTTTCCTTTGCATTTGACATTTATTCCCGTCTGTTTGATTTCAAGCAGCATGTTGCAAATGCAAAACTTTCATAATGTCAGGTTATGACTTATGATTGCAGTGCATTCCAAAAACAAAATTACAAATTAAATTTTTACATCTATCACATCAGATCTGTTTAAAGTAGTTGATGCATCAGTTATCTGTCTAGCTCTCTCACGTCAGAATTAGCTTCAGCTTTTCAGAAATGTCAATCTGAAGCTGCTCAGTGATGATATTAGAATATTGGCATTCGGGTGTGGCTCGATTTACTGCATTCTTGATCATTGCAGCTCCAGAATCCCATGTCATACGCAGCTAAACTCCAGCTCGCATTCTAAGCTCCATACTTGGGTGCCTTCCATAGTTTAAAGGCTATCTCATACAAAAATCTATCTGCTGCTATTGCAAGGTTTCCGCAATTCTGAAATGACAGCAAAAATTAAATTACATAAGGTTCTATCTTTTCTTTTCCTCGTAATTTTTTTTTAGTTATCAGAAAGGGAAGAATAGAAATTTGCACAGTTGACTCTTTTCCCGACCAAAAAAACCTGATAGCATGAAAAATTTAGTTATAGAGACAAACCTTTTTGAACTCAGTGAAAGAAAACTCTTGCGCCATATCTTTACGAGTTACAGCATCCTGCCATTGTGCTATTAATATTGGACAATGGTGCCTGTAAAGAAAAAATTAATAATCCATGAAGCAGTATAATATGTATCTGCTTCATTTCTCTCATCCGCTCCCTCACAAGCCCTTAAATATCCTAACCTGGGGTTTTGTAAATTAGACACAAAACCAACAGAGACAAAGAGTTGGAATCAAATCAAAACATTTAAGTACCTGATGCCATTCCTTGGATTTACTCCTTTCACGGTATAGCTTTGACGTGGAAAGAGGGACTGGAGGTTAGAATCATTTCCATCATGCAAGGATACAAGTGATAAGTTTGGATCATCCACTAAGACAGCTCCATAGCTCATGATGAGAGTTAAATGCAATCGGGATGCAATTTCTGACCCAGGTTGGGCAACTTGCAATATCCTCCCAACCAAGCTGTTTACATAGTCGAGATCATTCTGTGCACTTTCCCCCACATGTGCTCCAATATGAACAAAGACCAGATCATAATGGCCATCAGCTATATTCCCATCTAAAAATCCAAGTGTTCTTAGCAACTCATCCGCTGCAAAATCAGCCGATTGAACATCCAGGTTACTGAAGCCAAGCTTCTCTCCAAAGGATTTGACAGCAGGACTACTAGAGACTATAGCAGCTTTCATTCCCATGAACCTGTCAGGGAAACCACTTGGGTTTTTAATACTTATTTACAAGAATTGTTGCTCTCAAAAATTCCCATGATAGAACCATTTTTACCTATCCCCTATGCTGGGAACTTGCTTTGAGGCTTCTGATCCAAGATCCTTCTTTTCACTCTGAACCCAAAAAGTAAATGTGAACATGGAAAGAACCTATACAGCAACAAAGCTTGTATCCACACATAGCGATACTTACAGCTTCATTGGCATCCAGTAGCTGTGCCAGTTCTCTGATAAGTTTCTCATCTTCTACTTCTACAATAGAAGACAGGTAGTGATTTAATTAACTCCGCATAAAGATGCCCTTCTCCCACTTTCAATTTTACAACATCCAAGGAGTCAAAGAGAGATGCACACAAGCAAATGCATCTCAAACCACTACAGAAATTACGCTATGACTAACTCAAACAAGATCCATTACTTGTAAAAAAACAAACATAACAGGAGAATTTTAGAAGAATATTCAAATCTAGACATATACCCCATTTAGTGAGGGGTTATGGTGTTTCATGATCGCCACACCTTTATTTATCCAACTTAATTACAAAAATTATTTTATATGACTTCTTGACTGATAAGAAAAGAACCCTAACAAACAATATGCATACAAGAGAAATTGCTAAAAATAACCAGAATCAAAGAGACTATTTCTCGCCATAGTACAAAACAAAACAACAAAACACACGGGCAAGGAAACTGGAGAAAACATGAGCTTAGATTGATTTAAATTGCAGGTAAAGACCAGATAGAATATTAAGGATCAGGAACCATCCTACCCGCTTCAATGAGCCTAAAATGTCTATATGGTTAAGATCATTGCATCTAGTAACATTCAGAATTCTATCCTGAATTTGAGCATCAATTAAGCGAACAATCATAAGTGACAATCGACATAAAGTGCTTAACATCATGCACAAGGTTTTTCAATAGCAATCCTCAAATCCGTTATCAATCCCAATACTATTTTCAATCTACTGACCAAAACTGATGAAGGCATTACAATTTACAGGGCAAGGAACCATAAAACATGAATCATTATCTCAATTGGTGATAAATTATGATCAAACATAACACCTAGCTCAAGCACTAAATGACTTCCAGTTTCTCTACAACAAAATATAAAATCACCATTACAAAACAATTAACAACTCTAACTACACAAGTATTTGACAATAAACTCATTTGACCAATTACCATGACACTAATCCTAATTAAATTTTTCCTAAACTATATAAAATCGATCATATCTTGACTTTTTATACAAAACCCATATAGCAAAATCATTAATTTTGATAAATAAACATAAAATCAAACATAGAAATGATCAAATTTTCCAATTTTGATTCTGGGTATCTAAGAAATCAAAGCAAAAATGCTGAAATTGAAATGAGAATGATAATCAAGAAAGCTAAACCTGGAGTAGGAGAGGAATCATCAAGGGCTAAGAAGCCACAGCAAGCTTTAGATGCAAGATCATGAATGTAGGAATGAGAAGGAGTGATGTGAGGTGCTAAGCCATAACCATAGATCACCAAAGCTTTACTTGGTTTGTCCGCCATTAATACCTATTCACCAACAACACATACACATACATGTACAGACAGAAAAAGGAAAAGGGGGGAAATTTGATAGCGTTAGATTTATGCTGGGAACAAGTTTCCCTACCAAGTATGAGTATAATCTCAAATTTTTAATTTTTTTTTTTTTTTTTTTTTTTAATAAAAGCTCTCCCTCTCTTTTCTCTTCTATCCTCTCTCTCCTTTCTTTTTAGGGTTTTAAATTAGACTATTTCCGACCCTTTTTCTTTGATTTAATTTATTTTTTTTGTGTTTTTGATTGGTTTTGCTTTGTTTTGTTCTCTCCGTTTGTGAGAGTCTGTCCCAATTTTCTGGGATTTTGATTCTCATTTATGGATGAGAATTTTATTTTTAGGATTTTAATAATAATTGAGAAGGTGATTTAGATTCATATGAGTTTAGGGTTCGTCATCAACTCTACGATTAAAATGCACAAATTGTGAAAGTCTACTTGGAAAGATGCAAATACATCGAAAATCATTGCTCGCGTCAAGTTTGAAGCGGTGGAGTGTGAGCTATGCCCGATATGCAAAATAGTTATGATTTTGATTGTAAAAGTTATATTATTTTCTCTAGATCTGTGGTTTACAAATTTTTATTATAATTGTAGATGTCGTACGGCTAATTATTAATGGTAATATTCTTCTAACTGTCAATCAAAAAAAAAAAAAAAGAGTATAATCTCCTCTCCCCCTTTTTTTTTTTTTGTATCAATATTTGGGTCAAACTTTAATAAATTTGACCATAATTTCCGGTAATATATGAGATCTTTTTGAAATCATCTCATTGTACATTATACTCGTATTAATATCAAATTTTTATAATTTTTACACTTATCAAAATATAGATATATACATTTTAAGCGCTCTTATTAATATCAAATTTTTATAATTTTTACGCTTATAAAAATAGAGATATATACTTCCTCCGTTTTTTATTATTTGCAACAATTACTAAAATTGGGTGTTTCGTATTATTTGCAACAAACAATTTTTTTTCCTTTTGTAGTAAGTTTTTAAATGGTAAAATTACCATATTACCCTTATTAAAAACTGATTATGTACTAAACTACTATCTAGCTATGATTAATAAACCCCATAATCATACATCCTACTTAATCATTCCCACCAAAAATCAGAATCACCTTTCCCTTTTTTCTTCAAAAAATCAGAAACCCTTCACCTCCTCACCTACCATCTTCAATGTATCCCCCAACCACCTCCATTAATGACGCATCTCTTCATCTGCCTTGTTTTCCATATTCCAACGCATTTGTGGTTTCTAATTTTGAACGCTACCTTCGAACTCTCTATGTTCTCCTAAAACAGTCCCCTTTTGCTTCTCTCTCTCTTCAAGTTGAAACCCTAATCTTTGTAGATCTTGGTGTTCTTCTACTTTCGTCTTCAAAAAACCCAGAAAAATGAGTTCCCCAAACAAAAAAAAAACCCAGATCTGGGCGTTGTTGCAACCTACAAGTGCCAGCGACGCACTGGGAAGATGCGATTGGTTGGGACCCGTTCTGCTACTTACCTGGATATGAAGCGTAGGACAGGTGGGGGTGCGAAGCTTGCTCGATATGACTCTGATGAGGAGCGTTGTGATGCTAAGATATCATATCTGGGAAAGGTTGGTGAGGCTTCGACCAAAACACCTCCAGAAGTCATTGTTCTAGTCAGCGATGACGATGATGCCCCTGTTGCAGCCCTTTCGCCTCCTAAATCCGTTGAAGAGGGGGTGGCTGAGGTCAGATCTAGGGCCAAGGAAGGTCTCTCTGGCAAAAAACGTGAGAGATCTGAGTCCCTTCCTGCTAAGAGCGCTGAAAGCAGTGCGCCGTAACTGCTGTCTCCAACTAATCAAGTAGTGTAAGTCATTTCTTACCCTAGAATTAATTGATTCATCGTTTTCATGTTCTCCTAGTCTTTGATATAAATTATCTTCTGGTTTTGATTAATTTCCTGATTTGAGGTTCTGTGGTTGAAATGGTTTGCCTTGATTATAGTGATTGGCTAGTAATTGTTGACTGTTATTGGCTGAACATGTGGAGTGGTTGTACTGATTTGTGTTCTGTTACCTGATTTGGATTATGGTTGGCCTTATTTGGGTATGTTTGGTGTGTTGACAGTTATTGGTAGTAAGTGTTGCATATTGTTGGGTTAAAGGTCCTTTGATGATCTGTTTTGTGATTGGTAACCTAATTATGCTGTGTTTTCTATGTTAAGAATTGTTCAGATTCATAGTAGGCTGTTGATGGAGGGAAAATTTTGGGTTGTCTGAACTGATTTGTGATTAGTAGCCTCAGTTGCTCGATGGTTGCCCTAATTATGCTGTGTTTGCTATGTTTAGACTTGTTCACAATTACTGTAGGCTGTTGAAGGGTTGAAAAGTGTGTTGTCTGCACTGATTTTTGATAATTAATTTGCCTCATTTGATTTGTGAATACTTGGTGGCTGAACAAATTAGGCATTCTAAAGGCATTGGGGTTAGTGATATGGTGAATGATGATGAACTTGTGGCCTTCATGTGTGTCCCTGTGTGAGTCCTCTTATGAACTATCTGTCCCTATGTCAACTAAGAGTCCCGGCCTGTGTTGTGTGTGCTTGGAAAATCCATGTGATGAAGGGATTCATATGATACAAAAAATTCGTAAGTTGGAATTGCTCCAACAACTTCATATGAGAATTGTTGTTGAGGGAACCACTTATGCAATTTATGTGATAAAAAAAAACCCTGTCTAATGGATTGATGTATCAGTCTGTGTTGCACATTTGATGTTTATTATGTGCCCCTAGTTGTAAATAAACCAACCACAATTGATATCATAAATTCTACCAAAAACTTTTACAATGTCCAAATAAAGGTAGCTAAGACTGCCTTACAATATTAGTAGGCATGACTTAAAACAAAATACACCTAACCAATGATTGTCATACAATAATCAACAAAAAAAAAAACAGAAAACATCACATACTATGTTTCTTGCTGCTTCATTGCTATTCATTGGTTATGTCTGGCGGTCTCACTAAAACCTTCTTCATGTGTCTGACTTGTGTTCAGTCTGCATCAACTTCCTGTCCTTCATCTTCTTCATTTCCTTCACTTGTTGATATGAATATAGTATTGAGGTAGTCAATAGCTTGTTTAACCACCTTGTTGTCCACCTGTAATTGCTCTGGCAGCAACCCAATCCTTTCAAGCCTTTTCTTCCCTTTGTGTGGTGGGGTGAAGTTATTCCCTCCTAGGTGATTGAGTATTTCTTCCATGCAACATTGTAGTGTTATCCAACAATGTTTGTTCAACACTGGGTTGAACAACTCATAAGCTTCTTTTACCCTGTTTATCAGTTCCACTAAGTTCTTAGGGAATGATTGGTATTGTAGTGATTGTATTACATTGAACAAGCCTAGATCTAGCACATTTAAGTTTAGGGACTGAGGTGGCTGGTATATGAACTGAATATTGAATCCATTTGACTGACAGGCTGACACAAATTCCTCATCCCTTGGAATTTGATGAGGTCTGGCATTATCCTTCTGAATCCATATATCCTTGGGTAGATGGGAAGGCCATTTAGCTTTGATGCCTGGAATGGCATTATTCAGTAGCATTGCCCTTATGGCTTCTTTGTTGACATTCTGTGTAGCCTTGATTTCTACAACACCAGCTTCCCTGTTTTTGCTTTTTTTCTTTGATGTGCTTTCATACACAAATGGAAATATTCCATACTTTCCATCATGTAATACTGCTCCTTGGTGGTCAAAAATTGGCTTCCCTATGGCTGCCATGAACATGCCCTTCACTTTGAACCTTTTGGACTGTTGGCACATATATGGGTTAGCTTCATTTGGTAGGAGGTAGAACCTCCTAGTTTCTGGGTTCAAGTAGAACCATTTTTCATCAATGTGGACAACTTGCTGCATGTCCACAAACTTAGGGTCCCCACTGTCTTCAGCAGGCATTAGATGACTTAGCACCCATTTCATTCTTGTTATCTTGTGGTTGTCTGTCAGATGTGGGGGATTTGTGCTTGTATGTGTTCTGAGTCTCCCTTGTTTCTGTAATTTATGGATGGTGACATGTGGGATTTTGAGAGCAGCTCCATAGCTTCTCTCAGTTGTCCTCTTGTAAAGAGGGACTGATTGCAGAAACTCATCTGTGTACTATTTTGGTTTGGGTCCAGTCTTGCCCAACTTCTTACTTCTGACATCTATCACATTTTCCATTGCCATTTGGAATTTTATGTCTCTGAATAGCCTCTGAACTGTTGACATGTGGACATTAAATTTGTTTGCTTGCTGTGTTAAAAATCCTCTTGGCAATCCCCCCCCTAACTTCAACAGATAAGCATCAACAAGTTGCCTTTTCTGGGAAACAGTGAGCTGTTTTCTACCTTTGTGTTGCTGCATTCCACCTTCATGCACATTGTTGTTCATGTTATTGTCTACAGTCCCTTGCATGTTGTTTGCTTCAGTGTGTCCCATTATGTTTTCATCATGTAGCATTTGATCAATGCTGAAAAAATCATCATCTTCAATAGCTGACATGATGCTTATACTGATGATGTCGAGTTCCCCAAATTTCAGGCCTGGTAATGAAGTGAGGGGGGCTTTTTTTTTTATTGTTGTGTTGTTGCTGAACCAAAAAATCAGAAGCTGATGCTGCAATTAACCTAGGACTAATTTAGCTTTTGGATATTAGTGTAGGTGTAACCTTTTGGAAGAAACTTGTACTCTCTGTAATCTTTTGTATCTTATGAAGGAATGTTTGTAAACACTGTGGCAGGTTCTATAAATACCCCCCTTAATGAAAAATTCAAAGGGGGGAAAAATTGGCTGAAATCTGTTTTTTTAAAAAGGGAGGGAATTTTTTCGTGGGAAGGGGTTTGTTTGAAAAAGTTTGCTGAAATTTTTGAAAAAGGAGGTGAAAAAGTTTTAGAGGGAAAAAATTGGCCCCAAAAATGATTTAGGGTCCACAGTATTTTTTAAAAAGGGACCACTTTCTCTCTTATACAAAAAAACAGAAATTTTTCCCTCCTTTTTTAATGCTTTAATTAAATACCCCACTTCCCACTTATATTCTCCTAAACAACTACAAATTGTTTTGCCTAGGCCTCCGTGAAAAGTATTGTTGTTGCAGATAATAAAAAAACGGAGGTAGTACATCTTAAGACGCGTCTTGAACAACGTGAAAAGTCGAATGGGCAAAAAAAAACATAAGGGCAGAGGGAATAACTCCTGGTAAGACCTATAGGAAGGTAATGCAAGTGGTTGCAAAAAAGTAATGTACAATTGATAAAATTGGCACTTGGTTAAAATATCTTAGAAGCGAGCACTCATATAAAACCATCTTATACAAGACTGTTCACAGACGAAGGTTTAGGGTTAATGGGAGTGTTTAATTAGAGAGGTTTGGGCACCCAAAAAAAAAGTTTATAATTAGCCTGAATTAAGACTCTAAATTAAGTGTAAGAATATAGGATTTTTTAACGTAAATAAACTAACCTTTGGCCGGTTCTCCCAAAATAGACAAACCTATAAATCTGCCTATATTGGACAGAAGTTTGCCATTTTTTGCCCATAATGGACTGAGTTTACAGGCAACTGGTTATTCAAGTCAACATCACCCATGTTGACTTCTAAAATAAAAAAAAATTAAAAAAAAATTAAAAAAAAAAAAAAAAAAAACTCAAACCCCCAATCCACAGCCAACCCCTCCTTCCCTGACCCCATTGCCAGCCACCCCTCCTCCCTCCGTCTGACGACTGCCATCATTATCGACCACTGCACCACATTCACCACCCATGTTCGCCACCAACAACAACCTCAAGCAATAGACACAACCACCAACCACCGTACGAACCACCATCACCTTATCAGACACCGAAACCACCATACCAGCCACCGAAACCACCATACCAACCCACCCCACTACCACCAAGATCCAAAAACCCACCTTAGACCTACCGAAAACCCCGCCATAACCACCACCCACCACGAAACCACCACAAACTTACTTATAAAACCGGTCATAATCCCCCTAAATTCACCTCCCATATTTACCAATTTTGCATTAGATTTGAGTATTCAAACTTAATCTTACATTCCCCTTTTCGCTTTTCAATTTCTAGGGTTTTAGTTTCAATTTCGACAAGGGGGCGGGGACTCTCACAAGGAGGGGCAGCGACTTCGACTTTGACGAGGAGGAGGGACAGGTTAGGTGGGGATCAAGTGATGGGTTTTATGGTGGTTATGGAGAGGCGGTGGTGGTGCTGTGCTTGGAGGTGTTGCTGGCGTTTGGTGGTGATGTTGTGGTTGTTCTTTGTTGTGGGGAGTGGCTGGCAGTGGGATGGTTTTGGTTTTTTTTTTTTTTAAAAAAAAAAATATCAAAATTTAAAAATTTAAAAAAAAAATTGACCAATAATTTAATGACAAGTGGACTTTTACCTAGTATAACAGGTAGGGTAACCTGCTTGGTCCATTTTGGGAGAAAAAAATGCAAACTTTTGTCCAATATGGACAGATTTTTAGGTTTGTCTAATATGGGAGAATCAGCCAAAGGTTTATCTATTAATGTTAAAAAATCCAAGAATATATGATTAAGTTATGTTGAGTTTTAAGTCTTTGAAGAGAGATTTGTAAATGTAGGTATGAAATAATCAATCTACATCGAGGTTGGTCAAAATTTTCTACTTTTTTTTTTTTACCAAGGATCGTCACAAATTCCCCTAACAATAAAATAATCAATATCCTTATTTTGTTTTTCAGACAATAAGGTAGTTTATATCGGCTAACAGTAATTCACAACACTTTTAGACAAAGAACTAATACAATTAACTTGTCCAATCATCTAATACAACTAGCTAATAGCTAACACAACCGACTAATAGCTAATCGTTAATTGCCAAACAAGGCCAAAGTATTATGACGTTTTGAATAAAATAATACAAACATTTTGGCGCATCCAGCAATGGAATACTCTACACTAAAGTACAGAGAGGATAGCTGTATCTTTTTTTTCCTCTAAATGAAGAAAATTACATTGTTCTTAAAAGCTCAAGAAAACTATGGACATTAGCCTTGACAGTTTTGAGGGTAGATTCCCGTTCTGCCTTCGTCTGTTGAGCAGTAACCATAATTTTAGCCTGCTTTTGAAGAGATGGAATAGTAACTGACCAACTTAAGGAAAAATCAGCAAATTTATTCTGTTCTAGGGCTAGCTCTTGCTGTTTACTGGCTCTTAGTTGCTTCAGGTTCAGAAGTTTTGACTCCAGCTCTTCAATCTCCTTATCGTATTCGTTACACTCTGCTTGAATTCGGTCTATTCGCTCTTGACTATTCTGAATACGATCTCGAAGCTCTTTGGCAGCACTGCTCAAGGTACGAAGGGTGTCGGTGTTGCAGGTCTGTCTAGCTCCATCTTTATAAATATCTTGCAGCTGATCTTGAAGGGATAAGAAAATGTTCCGAAAATGAGCCAAATTAGGCTGAAATTGTGGAGGGGATACAACAGCAAGTTTATTAATCTGATCTGCTAGGTCAGCATATGCTGTGAGGTTCTCCATGTTGCTTTGCAATACATTGAGAATCTTCTCTGCATTTTCTTTCTCAACATCAAATGCTGATGGAATAGAAGCAGGGCGAAGGGTATCCTCAATGAGACACACAAGTGAATTTACCTCAGCAAGTGCCTTTTCAGGGGTGTAAGAGAGCCCTAAGAAAAAAGAGCATTGTCAGGGTTGAGGAAAACTAAACGCTACCCCAGGTCTGAATTATGAATATAAACCATAAACCATCAGGAAGTAGGGGTACAATCTCAAAAACCAGTAAAAAGTATAAATAAAACACCTAAAACGCTACTTCCATTAAACAGTATACTTTTCTTATATGAACCATTCTCGACATATGGGTTACATAGGGCATTTGGTTCAAAATTAAAAGTATGAAAAAAGTGATTCATGTAGAAATTGACACAATGATATAATATTGGAGGCAGACTATGTTTACTAATTCAAGGAGTCTGTTCCTAATTTTCTTAATAAGAGTTGGTTTGAAAAACTTGACCCCTGCTGGAGTTTGGAATTCAGTAAATTTTCCTTGAAGAAATTTCTGAGAATAGATTACTTATAAATCTTTAAAAAGATACCTTGTGGGCTAAAAGGTTGCTCCATCTCCAAGAATGCGGAAGAGCCATCAACAACAATAGCTTGAGAATTGTCTGAAGTGGTGGCACCTCTCGTCCCAGAGCCTTCCGCAGGCTCCACTTCTATTGATGGGCGATCTTCTGCTTGAGGAGAGATACTATTAAGGTTGGCTTCCTGGGATTCCAAAGTCACCTTATCTAAAATAGGCAAGTGTGAAGACAGTGAGAGAAGGGCATAGAAACATAATCCCAAAAACATTTAAAAAATAATACACAAATAAATAAATAACAATTTGTTCTTATTTTTAGAATGAAGAATAAATTTACTAAACTAATGCTAGATATGAATTCCCTGGTAAGTTCTTTTACCATTAGAGAAGATAACTACTGCATCCTTTTGGAAATTTCGCAACTTTGACTAGTAAGTCTAGACTCAGGATGTATAATAAAAGAACAAAGAAGGGATAACAGATGGTACTTAGGTCCATTGAAAGAACAGATGATGTCTCTTTGAGATTAGCAGAACCCATTCCACGAACCATCTCATGAGGTGGCTCAAGTGAGTCCTCAGGCTCAGAACCCGCAGTTTCATATCCTATTTCTTCAGCAATTATTTTTGTTAAGCATTCTGGAATACCTTGGGTAGCATGGGAAGTATCCTGCTCTATAGCATAGGTGGTTGCTTCCTCTTTCACTTCCTTCTCAAGAACCTTGAGAACTTTCAAGGAAACGTTATAAATATCAGGGCCAACGGTTTGTGAGATATTATTCGGCTTAACGTTTATTTGTTTTGGATTATTTGAACAAGCCAGCACAATACTTGAAGTCCTAGAAACTACTGGTTGATAATTGTCTGCACCAAAGAGAAAATTGTGAATATAAACTTGAAATTACAAATTCAAAGAAAATTTGAGATGTAGCTAAGGCATACATTTTCTTTTTTTTCTTATAGTCCTGAGGGAACGCTGGAAAGATGGAGTAGATTCAGTAGAATGCCGCCTCCTAAATATCCTGAGGGGGGTATTATCATCACATTCTTTAGACTCTTCCACAACAGCCTTCTTTGAATGCCGGGAAGTAGAAGCAGCCATGATCCTTTCACTCTTTCTTTTCAGTTCCCTCTTTGCAATAGATGTTTGAGCATTTTTTTCTATCTAAAAGAAAGTACATAGATATCAGCATTAATATCCAATTATTCATAATAAAGGAAAAGGACATACAGAGGCGGTAGAAGAGATCCTACAGTACCTGGCTCGAAGATTTTGTCTGACGAGGATCAACAGGGAATCGAGCTCGACTTTGTTTATCTAATAGTATAAAAAAACTCACGAATTAAAGAGAATCAGAAAAATAGACATTTAAGTATTTGACAGCAATAAGGGTAAGATGGGTAAGAGTAAATTACTTTGCCTTGGATTCATAGCTTGGACAGTTGATGGCGAAGAAACCATTAGTGGGCCTTGGATGTTCCGAATAAGAGTGGCAAAGGCCTCAAGCCATGAAGGCTGACACCTCTTGAGAAAATCAATCCACCAGAGCTCATAACCTGGGTCTATCTCAGCCCGTCTAAACCAAGGGATGATATGAAGAGTCTTTACCTCGTAGGTAGGGAAAGACTTCAGCCATGTCTCAGTGAAGGCAAACTTGTTGTCTGTTGGTTTCAAGGCCATGTCCAAGAGATTGGGTCTGGTTCCCCAAGGACGATTTAAAGTCTTATAGTAGGGGATGCCCAGACCTTGAGTCATTCCAAATTGACGAGCCACGAGATTGGGATTATAGACTTCAACGCCAATAACTTGTGGTTCGAGACAGATGAGGTCTCGAGGTAACAAAATTGATGACCAATGTGATTCATCCTTTTCACGGATCATCATGCAAGATATCTCTAAAAGCCAAATTGGGGTTGTTGCCTTCATGCATTGCCCTAATGTATCCTCCCCAAATTTTACCTCTGATGAAATATCCATTTCATCCTCACCAGAAAAAGGAAGCCAATCAGATTGATTTGCCTCCCTGGGGAACAAAAGTCCCCGTAAGACTTCTTCAAATGCTAGATGTACCACTGGAGAATTGGTATGAATAGCCAACTCTCCATAGCAGCAACATTCTTTGACAGGAAGAACTGCAGGCTTGTCAAAGTCAGCTTTCAGTTCTTCGTCATCTTTATGTTCAACAAGACGAGGGAAGTAAAAAAGTCCCCACATAGATATGACCCATATAGGGCCACCAGCAGTAGAAAGCTTCTCATGGGTTCGAAGTCGATAGAGACATCGATACACTTGTCCCAGGAACAGAGGGGCAAGACACAAGGATTTAATTCCCTTTTGGTCGTTTCCTGAAGCCTCAATATTTGCCGCAAGCTTCAAGAAAGTTTTATTGACATTGCAAGAAGGGAACATCATCAATTTACATAAAGCAAGGTTGATAAACAATACCTCTTCTTTCCTAGAGATATCAACTTCAAGATTTTTATTCTTATCAGGGTTATAAAAATCCACAATGGAGCTATATGACATGTTTGTTTTATTCTTCCATGGTGTAATCTTCTCCATGTCAAGAGCTCCATCTATTAAAACTTGAGTGGGGAGGTCTATACCAGCAGGAGACAACCCTGTAAGAAAAGCTATGTCCTCAAGTGTGATGGTTTTAAAACCTTGACCAGTGACAAACACATTGAGGCAGGGGTTCCAACAACAAAGCAATCCCAGAGTCAAAGCACCATAGAATGGCAAAGCAGGATATGTAGAGAGCCTTAAAAACTCATAAATACGCATCTTCCTCCATTTATTGTGCTTGCTAGAAAGTCGATTGAACCATTGTCGAGTGTCAATGGTAGAAGTCCAACCATTGACTGGCTTGCCTGAGCTTTTCACCCAATCACACTTTAGCTTCTCTGGCTCATTCAAAAAGGGTGGCTTGGTAAATTCAGTCGGAAAACACTCCTTAAGTGATTTGAGCACTTTATCAACCTTTTCAGGTTTGAAACAAGGGCCAAGCCTTACATAATTCCCATCATGACCCTTGAATTTTCCATGTTTAAGCTTCTTTGTCCTGATGGTCTGCTGCAAAGAATCCTCGACAGATTGCTTGCAATCATGAAGAACCATACAAAGCTTGGCAGCCTCAGAGTCCCCGTGTTCAACAGGCTTTGGACTCCACATTTTATTAGTCTTCTCAATATCCGACATTACTTATTTTCCTGAAAGATTACGGTGAACAGATCAGCTTAGAATGTTAGCACAGCAACAGCATGTCCACACTGCAGCAAAAAAAAATAAAAAAATAAAAAAATAAAAAATATTTGAAGCTGCTTATAGCCATGGTCAACAAAATGTTTTCAGAATGAGAAACTCACCTCACAAAGAATGGCATTCACCAGCATTAATAACAAAAAATATACCAGAACTCACACACAATATGCTTTAGGAACAGCACACGAAACCGCATCAGTATCTCAATTCAGGAACCATCCTCAGGTTTGCTTTTGCTTTAGTTGTACAAGCAAGAAAGGTGCAGAATTTATTCATATGACACATTGAGACAAATTTATTATAACAATATACCCCCCCCCAATAAATCTCAATGCATACTAACTAAATTTTAAAGCGTATGGAAGTCAATTGATTGAAAAATAGGCAGCAACGATTCCCTCCGGCTTCTCACAGGAAATCAAAATAGAGTAAACATGATATACTTCTAACGTGAAACCAATATGCATTTTTTAAACAAATACAATCCAGCAAGTGAATCATCTTCAAGAGAAAAGAAACCATCATTGTCAGACATTAAGTGGGAAAGCTTCTTGTTTATAAAAATCAAAACTTCTATCCACATGATACATAATAATTTACATAAATCATGTTCATGGGCTCAAAGCAACTAATGTACATCATTTATAGAACATAAGAACACCTAGTATAGGGGAAAAGCCTTCCTTCTCATCAAGCAATCCTCACACTATGTTTAGAAACCCTTTTGATATAAAAACTAGTTGATGCACCAGGTCATTAAATGTTGTATCATTTCTTTTTTATGATGAAAATTGATTTTACAGTTAAGAGTAAAAGATTTAATCTTTTAGATTTTATAATCCATTTTTCTCAATCAAACTATCAATCATTGTAATAGATAATTACAAATCATCTAACTAATTCTTGTGAGTAGAACACTGCAAAAGTCAAGAATGAGGTTCATATATGACACTTTGACATCTATCCAAAAATGGAAAAACAATCAATTTCAATGATATATATCTTGGTTTCAATTTCAAGTCACATCAAATTCAACTCGAACTATGAATTAACTCAATGTCACACATTAAGAACCATCTAATAATCTAAAATTCTAAAATCACCATACATAATTAAACAAAAAATGAAACAAATACAGCCTAAGCAATTTTAATTCTTGTAATGGGAAAATTGGACCGACAAATATACAATCAAAAATTCAGAATACTGAATTTGGTATGGCCATGTGCCACTGCCGCCGTAGCCTTCAGATACCTCCTATGCTCGTAGGTGCCGCCTCAACCATCGCCATGTTGGTGCTGCCAACTAGGGTTCAGGGAGACTGGAGCAAAGACACTGATCTGAGTGTGTTAATTAAATTAAATTAAATTGGAACGGACATAAAAGGAAAAAATGACGATCCACTAATTTGGGACAAAGGGAGTAAATAATCTAGATATCATCCAACAAAATAACAACAAGAAGGAAATCACAACTTCTCAAAAAAATAAAATTAAGCATGCAAAAAAGAACCCAAATCAAAATGCATAAACTTTTTTAAATAGAATTCCAACAAAAACATAAAGTCTGTAAACATTCACACAGAATTCAGGGTTACCTGAACCTAACAAAAAGCTTCAGTTAAAAATTACAATGACAAAATTTACTGAAATTGGAAAATCCCAGAAATAAAATGAACAGAAATTAACAAAGTAAATGGTTTGCAAAATTGAGAACAAAAAAGAAAATTGAGTGATTAAGAGCAAAAGGTTGGTACCTTTAGCTAGAGGAGGGCAGATACTAAGTGAAGAGGGGCAAGAGACAACTCCAGAACAGCGGCGTTGTTGAAACTTGATAGAACCAACGAGCCAATTTCTGTGGGGATTAGGCAAGGAGATGCAGCATTTCACACCCCTCTCTCTTAGGGAGAAATTGATTTTATTACCCGTCTCGTTCTTTTGAATTGAAATTAATCTGAATGGATCTGTCGTAATTGAATAGGAAAATAATGTTTCGTACTTTGTAATGAAAATAATAGAGTTGCATTAACTTAAATTTGACCGGTCTAAATGAAACTGAATTGAACTAAATAGAAACGTTGAGGAGCAAGTCTAAAAGAAACGGGTCTAATTTGCTCTCTTGAAATGGCATGTGTTTGCTCTGATCAAACTCAAAGGAGTGGTGTCTCATTTGCTATCTTGAAATGACACGTGTTCGCTCTTATTTTACTCAAAAAAAATTATGCCTCACTTTCCCTCTTAAAATGAAATGTGTATGGTTTGATCTTACTCAAAACAATTAGGTCTCATTTGCTATCTTGAAATGATATGTGTTTGTTCCTATCTTACTCAAAACAGTCGGATTTCATTTGTTCTCTTGAAATGACACGTGTTTGTTCTGATCTTATATAAAAGAACCGGGTCTCATTTGTTCTTTTGAAATGAAATGTATGTTATAATCTTACTCGGTATTAAAGTCTAGTTTGATTTGGTGGAATCTTTTGTACTTGGTAAGGTTTATATAATGTGCTAGTTTGACTAAATTTGATCATATTTTCACCATGATGTATTAAGAAAAACATTATTAGATTGTGTCGAATTCATTTTAACTTGTATATGTTAATACTAACTCTATTTCTTAAAGTTATTTACACTTTTCAATTTTAAATTGTTTCTAAGTTTCTTTACCCTTTTACTTGCTTTATTCCAAATTTGGAAACATTTTTTGACTAATTTTCTTACCTTTTTTTCCAAAAAAATTTTACACCACTTACCTTAGTACACTCTCTATCTTTTTATTTCTCGAAAATTTATTGGGTGAGTCTTGCCTCGCCAACATCTTTGTGAGACAAGCCCAAAATAAAGAAGTTAAGAGAGCACAACACTTCATCACTCTCGCATTTTTTTCCTCCATAGATAAAATCAAGCTGCCTCTATAATAAGTAAGAAGAGTAAGCTACGTAGCTTATCATTGAACTTTTTCTTCAACTTAATATCGTGAAATTCACAATAAGTGTTGACATTTTTGTCCAATTTACTTGCTACACTTTCTTATAAGGCGTGTCATCAATTTACTTGCTCTATATTTTTGTAAACAATTTATTTCTATATACTTATTTATTGTATTGAGTTCCACTTTAACACACTCATTTATTTGTCTCCATGTTTTTTCACTTGCATAATTTTGTGCATATGGCTATAGCCTATGGCAGTCTCAAACATTCTCGAGGCTCAGAGCAAAAGGTTAAACAAAGGACCCCTAAAGAAATATTGATTTTTTTATTTTTAATTTCAAAGATGTAGGATCTATCCGAAAAAAAAGAGTTCTTTTTAGTAATGAAAAATCAATTTGCAAAACACAAATTCTGTATAATCACTTCACATATAATACAATTAATTGAGTAAAAGGTGTTTTCGCGATGAGCAAATTGGATTACCTTGACGGGTGTGAGGTTACTCCAATGGGAAAATAGGATTACTTTAAAAAAAATTAGTGAAGTTTTTCTTTTATTAGTTAAAAGAATAAAACAAAATAATATGGGTTACTCGAAAAAAATAATGAAGTTATTTTTGCTAATTGATATTATTGGTATAACGAATTTGAGTTACTTTAATAGACAAATTGGGTTACTCTTATGAATAAACGAGGTTACTCATACGACAAATAAAAATTACTCTTATAAATTAATATGGGAACACAGTGTAGCTGGTCACACAAAACTTACCGTTTAAAAAAATAAACTTTAAATTAATTAAGTCAAAAAATACAAATAAGTTAACTTTAAGAGAAATAAAGGCTTGTCAAGTTCATCTTAGAGTTATTTCAAAAAAAGTAAAATTTCATCTTGAATTAATATAAATTCAAAGAAAAAGATATATAGGTTTTGTAAAGATTAGATTAGTGAAAATTCGAGTGAATATAACCTACATTAAGAATAATATTGTCGGAGCAGGGTCGATAATTATTACTCCATTCATTACATAATAAATTACACACTTTGACTTTTATCATGACCTCCGTGTTTTGCTATTATATAAAATACTACTTCAAATGTCACTTAAATAAGTAACATGTTTTAGGTTTATTTTAATGAATATTATTGTAATATCAAGTTTCATACTATGTACTCCGTAGTATTTACTAATAGTCTAATACACGTTTAAAATCTTTGACAGTCGAAGATATCATATTCCGTATGATAAAAGTAAATTCGTGTCCATTTTTATAAAACGGGGAAGAAGTATAAATTGCCAACAAGTATGTAGTGTTTTTATAGGTATGATTTCTTTATTTGGTCTTTCAGTTGGCCATATAAGGAGGTAAGTTATATCTCCAGCTATCAGCCCTTCAAAATAACGACACGTAATTACAGGCCCAGCACAAAAACATTAAAAGTCTAGCTCAGTAGGCCCATTACATGAAACAGCCCAACAACGTAGCAACCCGCAACAACTTGACTTTTATGAACCGGGGCTTCGACCATAAAATAAAGGGGCATAAACCAAACTCGCTCCGTAGTTAAATAAATAAAACGTTTTAACTTTTTGCACCATTCATCTAATTTACTTTGACTAATGTGTATGATTTATATTTTATAAGAATAAATACAATCTTATGGGTACTTGTTGGAATCGTCTCGATGAATAATTTATTAATATTCAATTGTTGTAATTTTTACTTATTGATAATTAAAGATGTTATCAGTTATAGTATTGCATTGACGTACGTGTATAAGAGAAAAGTTTTATTTATTTAAACACAGAGGGAGTAACACATGCTAAATTGCTAATAAGAGTCTAACACACATGCATGTATTTGATCTTCGTAAGTTATGTTTGTTATAGAGGTAACAAATGAGTCATTTCATAAAGCTTTCTCTAATGTTAGAGTGATTTTGTTTAGATCGGAATTTTTTTTCCATTCAAGCTAGAGTACAATTATCAATATAAATCAGATCATTTTTCACGTCAGCCTCATGAAATCTAAAGTCAAACACTCTCCATTAAGTTTTAACCGTACCCAAACATTATGTGATTATTATTGATACTTTCTTTGTACGATAGATTAATGTTGTTTGTGCTATCGTGCATTACAATTTTTTTTTACAGGTGGTTTACTTATTTACTTATGAGGAATGTGCGTGCCTTTACCAAGCTACAGCGCCTATATAATTAAGTAATTAACCAAAAACCTAATTACAATACGGTTTACTTCTTATAATCATCTATCTTACACTTAGGACAAGCTAGGTACTTGCATATGATATGCGTTGCGTGGTACTTGCACATGGATGCTTGATGTGCCCCTTAAGCAAATGTGTATTATGCATCCTCTAATTTGATAAGCATTGATATATTTAAGGAAAAATATAGTCATGTATGAAACTTTGTAAGATTCAGCCTTCGCTTTAATTAATATTTTCATAATATCAATTTTTCTATAACTTTTATTTACAAACAATATAACATATTAGTGATTACAATGATACATTAATTAACATATCATAAAAATTAAGGGTAATGATATATTAGGATTATATATAAACATTAAATATACTTCCTAAAATGGAATTAAGTTGAGAATTCATGACAAAATTATGTACAGATCAGTGTAATACATATTAATTTATCATCAATATTTTCCTTTGTAACTTCTTATATATAATGCTTAGGCTATGTTTATCATTATCCAAAAAATAATGTTATAAGTAAAAAAAATCGAGAAAGTTAAAAAAAAAAAAAAAAAAAAAAAAAAAAAAAAAAAAAGGGGAACAAAATTTATTGGAAACCACATGTAAAAAGTTTGGATAAAATATACTACGTATATATAATCAAAATTAAGTAGGACCCACACGGTAATGTGAAAATGGTGTTATGCATGGGCATAGCATTAGTGAGACAGTTAAAATGGAAGTGGTGGTCAAAGGAAAAAAAGCCGTTAATATGATCCATTTGGATTTAGGAGGTACTCACTCGTAGTACGTACTAACAATATCATATTATTATTGGACCTACCCCAATCCTCATATCATGTCTCATCTATGTCCTACCATAGGCATTTGCTATCTTTTTACGCGTTTCGGTGCTATGTCCTTTCTCATCTTACTTAGATTCTTAACCAATGCAAATACAATTCAATTTGCACATATATCGTAGATTTGTAACAATTTTTCACTTGTTTGTGGATGTGTCTTACATCCAAGACTATTACGTAATATACTCTATATTTTGCTCATACTCCCTCCATCCCTTATTGTTTGTACCATTTGACCGAAAAAATTCTCACAAAAAGTAAACCCATGGTGCAAATAAAAAGGGACTAAGAGAGTAAATCGTACGTAGATGTGCAAAAGAAAATAAGCATATAACAGTTGAATTTATTATTTTTAATTCAAGACTATCTGTCTATCACGTAAATACTAGTTGACGAAAATAAATTGGTCATCATTCTTTATTTTTGAAATTACAAAGATAATTTTTAAGCCGGTAGATTTAGTATTTTTTTACAACAAAAAAATGGGAAAATTCAAGTTGATCTCTGAGATAAATTTGTAAATATATCTCCTCTCACAATATATTGTTTTTCTTTTATTTTTAAAATAAAAATGAAATAATAAAGTGACACATAAATCAATGTACAAAGTTGTAAGAGGAGATAAAATGAATTGTTAATCTCAGAGATTAACCTGGGCAACTTGCTGTCGCATAAGCAAGTGATATAAATAAATTTGATTTAATTTCTTTCTTACGAATCCTCCTATCTTGTAAATTATAGAGATATGTTGGTTTCCAGAGATCGGCCATTAGTACAATGGTAGTGCAAACATCAAGCGCTTTAATTTTTTATTACTAGCTGCTAAAAAAACACAAAAAAAATATATAAATAAATAAATTGGGCCCACTCACTCCTATGGCCCTATTGACATTGCAATTTTTAATCCAAGTATATTAATTAATTGATTTATCAAGATTGTGAATAGTTATAGCTTCATTATTACATGTTCTTGAATCCCATTACAAATATTACATTGTTTCTCTCAAAAGATTAAATTTTTTGATACTTTTTCCCATCATTTCAAGCATATAGAAATCTTGACTTTTATATGTTTAACCAAAGTCAAAACTAAACAATAACTTGTCTACAATGTAGTGCTATCAAATGTAGGTGCATGTATAATTTTGCAATTTAAAGTATTTATTGAATATTTTAAATATTTTAGCTATTTATATAATACATCGATTTATTTTTTTTGATGGAAATTATCAATTTATTAAAAAACGTTCTTAACAAAGAAATTATCTATGTGCCATTCGTGGGAGACATCAAGTTTACACATTATTTTAACTACCAAACTATATATTAGTTGATGTTATCTTCTTAATGTAAAATATTAATGTTTGGGGGTTTTTTATGTGTTCTACGGGAGAGTTACAATTTCCTAGAATGCTCCTTCCTTCGCTTGTACCTGCACAAATAACGGAATACTCCGGCTGGGGCTGGGGTGTTCCGCCTCCGAAGATTAAGTTAGTCTCTTTCTAAATGTGGAAATAAGACAATAAAAGCTTCTCGATTTGAGAGCGTTTGCAAGGGGATTGGTGTTTTGTTGGTTTGTGGGAAAATGATTCCATGCCCATTAATGAGGTCTGCCCTTACTATTTATAGTAGGGAGAACTGTACCTCAATTAGGGTACAATGACACGTGTCGCAAAGGGATTGGGCCTTTGTTGACTGTTGCAAGCTTGACACATGGCAGACCTTTATTGAGCCACGTGTCTTAGGGTATTTTTACCCTAAACATCTGCCCCTCACAGGTGTGACGTGGAATGTCCACGTGTCACCTGTGACAAGTGTCAGACGCATGGGAGGAGACGGTTCGTCTCCTTCCCTCCTTTTTTCAAATTTCAAGTTTTTAGGGCAAAAGGCATCGTTTCGCCTTCTGCTCCTTCTATAAATACAAGACACGCTCTCTCTCCTCCTCACTTTACATATTTTTCAAAAAATTTCTGAGAGCGCTCCGCTACCGGCTGCATTATTTCCTTAGTTTTCCTGCATCCGGCACTTTCAAATTACGCACATCCGGCGACCGGTTGGGTTCCCTTTCTTCAGTATCTAAGGTACTGGCTGCCCTTTTTTCTTTTTTACTTTAGCTTTTGACGATTTCAAACATTTCAACCCATCCGGGTTTCATGCCGCCTGGGTGGCCTTTAACCCATATCCCATTTCTTGAATCTTCTCCCTCAGCCGGCATAGCCCCATTTGAGGGGTTTTCAATTTTTAAACACTATGCATTCTAAACACCCCCATCCGGATTATCACCGTTTGGGGGGTGTTTGAACCTTCAATAAATATATCCTTTAACACCGCCTGGGGTACTTCTGAGTTCATCAAGAAATGATTTCAAAAACCCCAACCGGTTTGGATTTTTTCAAAGTTTTAAAGATGCGCTCAATGCACCCCCATCCGGTATATAACCGCATGGGGGTTATTTGAGCAGCCTTGGCTTTCTCAAACATCATTCAAATAACCCCCATCCGGTATATAACCGCGTGGGGGTGGTTTGAGCAGCCTTGGCTTTTTCTCAAACATCATTCAAATAACCCCCATCCGGTATATAACCGCGTGGGGGTGGTTTGAGCAGCCTTGGCTTTTTCTCAAACATCATTCAAATAACCCCCATCCGGTATATAACCGCATGGGGGTGGTTTGAGCAGCCTTGGCTTTTTCTCAAACATTCAAATAACCCCATCCGGTATATAACCGCGTGGGGGTGGTTTGAGCAGCCTTGGCCTTTTCTCAAACATCATTCAAATAACCCCCATCCGGTATATAACCGCGTGGGGGTGGTTTGAGCAGCCTTGGCTTTTTCTCAAACATCATTCAAATAACCCCCATCCGGTATATAACCGCATGGGGGTGGTTTGAGCAGCCTTGGCTTTTTCTCAAACATTCAAATAACCCCCATCCGGTATTTAACCGCATGGGGGTGGTTTTAGCAGCCTTGGCTTTTTCTCAAACATTCAAATAACCCCCATCCGGTATTTCACCGCATGGGGATGGTTTGAGCAGCCTTGGCTTTTTCTCAAACATCATTCCAATAACCCCCATCCGGTATTTAACCGCATGGGGGTGGTTTGAGCAGCCTTGGCTTTTTCTCAAACATTCAAATTGTACCCATCCGGCATCTAACCGTATGGGGGGTGTTTGAGCAGCCTGTAGCTTTTTCTCACACAAATAGACCCCATTCGGAATTTAATCGTATGGGGGTCTTTTGAATGAGTCCATTTTATATAGCTGATCCATTTTTCTTTATTTCAGCTTCAAACACATTCGGAGACTTCCGCCTGTGGAGGTTTCAAGCCATCATAATCAAATCTCAATTTTCAAAGGTACCGCCTGCATTCTATACTTATCACTTTCTTTTACTTCCGGTTGCATAACATTAGGACATGGACACCACCGATGCACACACGGCACAGCCTACGACTGTGGTCAGCCGGTCACCAGGAACGACTGAGTCTAGGACTGGGATTGCCGTCTGGGGGTTCTTGGAACAACCTTCACCTACATCAAATCCGACCGTCTCTGTTCATGTGCAGGACAGAATGGCTCGGATCAGAGTGACGACAATCGACCCTGACTACCAGTCCGATGACGCAGTAGCTATGCCGGCTGACCCTATAAATCAAGAACAAGCCGAGGAACCGGCTGAGGCAGGTCCTAATGAGGAAGTTCCACAAAATTCTCCAAGTACACCTAGCACCCCGGGTGACAGTATCTTGGATAGCTCTGGTTCCAACGGTGAGGAATCCGGAGAGGAAGCCGACGAGGGATTCGAAGAGGAAGCCGGCGAGGGATCCGTGGAGGGATCCGTGGAGGGGTCCGGAGAAGGGTCAGCTGATAATGGGGAGTCTGGCCCTGGCCCTGATGAAGAGTCTTTTGAAGAGGCGGCTCCTGTTGAAGAAGAGGCCTACAAATGGCCGGCTAAGGGTGACCCGACTGATATGACCATGTCCGCCAGGGATGTGGTCACTTTGAACGCCACACTCCCTGCTTTTTGCAGAAAAAGCCGGTTGGAGAGGGGTGGGAAGTGGTCGTCCCGCCTGTAGAGGCAATCGTCGTTTGGACCGACGATGTTAAACATGCCGACAACTTCTTCGGCTGCTATGAGGCGGCGTTTACAGCCGGCCTCCGGTTCCCCCTCCATCACTGCATAAAAGCCATACTGAAGGGGTATGACCTAGGTGTATGGCAGTTGACCCCTAATTCATGGGTCAACATTCTTGGATATATTGCCGCCTGCGAACTGCAGGGTGTAAAGCCAAGCTGGCAGACATTTGCGCACATGCATTATTTTAGCAGAGCGCCGGGTGGGTGGAATGCGTGGTACACTCTCACCACGCTTCCTGAGTACATGATGACCTTGGACAAGCCGTCCAAGTGGAGTAATTGGAAGAGTAAATTTTATGTAGTCTCTTCCCCCTCCCCCCAACTCAACCGCCGGCTGCGTAGATATAATAAGCACCCGGTCTTAATGGGTAGGAAATGCGCTCTCCCTAGAGTACCAGGAGAGGCATGGGACCAAATAATGCAGAAAGGTCTCTTTCTGAAGACAACCGCCCCACTAGATGACGGGGGCGAGATCGTAGTTCCCAAATTTCGGGTGCCCCATCCGAACTGGTTTAAGGATGAGGGTTTTTTGTCCCTTTGTAACTTGAGCACTATGTTCACCAAGGGTAGGTTTACTAATTAATCAAGTCCTTCCCGGATGGGTATGCTTTGTTTGATTTCTAACCATGTTTACTTTTCTTGTTTTGCAGAAGAAGCAGAAAGAATGGTGCCGCCAGAGAAGACTCCGGCTACCTCTGCCATCCTCTTGAGGAAGAAACAGCTAGAGGAGAAGAAGGCGGCGATGGCCGCCAAAAATGCCGGGGTAGTCTTTTCTGAACCATCTCTTCCTTTTTTTTACCGGATGCAGTTTTTACCTTGTTACAAGGTTTTTACCGGATGCATCCTATTGTGACTGTTTTCAGGCTGGGAGCCAATTCATACCTCGCTCTGTAGCGAGTATGCAGAAACGTCCGGCTGGGACTATTCCCACGCCAGCCGCCAAAGTGCCTAGGGTGGCGGCTCCTGCCCCGGCTGCAGGTCAGAAACAGAAGACGCCTGACAAGGACAGGCCAACAACTGCAGGGAAGAGCCTGCAATTAACTCCCCACTTTGAAATGGTGGTGGAGTCGGCAAGGCCGGATGCTCATACTCAGACGGGCTCTGGTTCATTAGCAGATGGGGGGGCTTTGACCCCACAGTCCGAGAAAGGTAACACTTCTGCCTTCGATCCCCCCTGGCCGCTTGGGCATATGAGAGTAAAAACCCAAGCAAGCCAATCCGGGGATTCTTCTGGACACCGCCCGGATGTTGGTGAGGCATATGCCCAATACCTTACAGATGATTCTATGCTTGCAGATACCACCTCCAGCCGTCCAAACTACCAGCAATATGCGAAGAGGATGGTCAGGACCATCACTCGGTCAGAACGAGAAGCTGTGCCGGCTGTGCACACGGTCAATCTTGACCGGATCACTTATCTTCTTGCTGAGGTACATAAACCGGATGGCCTATGTTTAAGCAATGCCCCCTTTTTTTTTACCGGATGCATGTATTTTATCTTTAATCTTGCCTAACACTTTCCCCGGCTGATGCTGCAGACGCTGCTAAGAGTTGATGGGCTTAGCGTCCCTCTTCGCAAGAAGCAGGAGGAGGTAAGAGACGCTCAGAAGCGCGCATCTGAGCTTATTGACGTTTGCCAATTCAATGCCATTTCATATGACTTGGAAACTGAACAAAGGAAGTTGCAACAGGAGGAACTGCTGAAGAAGGCGGCTGCGGCTGGGGAGGCGGCATTGAAGAGAGTTGATGAGCTTGAGCTCCAGGTTAAAAATCTCCAAACTGACCTTAAAGCCCTGGAGAATGCTGATAAGGAAAATGTCAATCTCCGGAAGGACAACAGCCGGCTGGTGACTGAACTTGCTAACAATCAGGCGGCTCATAAGAAAGAGCTGGAACAGGAACAACTCCGCCTGATTGCTGAAAATGAGGCCGACTGTGAAGAATGAATGAAGCTCGCTTGGAGCCTGATCCACCCGGATTTCAAGTACGAATACTGGAATCTTCGATACCAGTATGCCTCTGAAGTTTACGAGGCTAAGATGCTCGGAACTGACGTCCCTCCCGCTTTCGACGAGTGGGTTGAGCGCAACAACGTGATTCAGCCGGATGGGGCTAATCAAGATGCTCAGGCGGAGGATCAGTCAGTGGTGGAGCAGTCGGCCGAAGTTCCAGTCGATGCAGTCCAGCAGCCGGATCCTCAACAGCAGCAAGCTCAACAACAACAAGCTTAACAGTAACAACCATAAACAATTTCCTATCTTCTTTTCCGGCCTGCGAGCCGAGTAACTTTTGATGTATCTTTCCCGGACGGGGGTCCGGTTAACATTCTTATTTATAAATATCTAATCTATTTAACCGACGCAGTCGGTTTCGCTATTTCTACTATTTGCATTTTTTTTTTACATGATCAGTCGTTCTATATATGCCGAATGAAGTAACGAAACCATGTTATGCCCCTGAAATGGCAAACTGTTTACTCCAACAATAGACAGGCAGCCGTTTCATTGGTGGCCGGATGGGTGATCAATGAGTGATCTATCCTTGTCCCGGCTGTTAAATAGGCAGCCGATTGATGGCAGCCAGATGGGTGATCAGTGATTGATCTAACCTTAACCCGACTGGTGCAATAAAATGCCCCTGAAATGGCCAACTGTTTACTCCCAACAGTAGACAGGCTGCCGTTTCATTGGTGGCCGGATGGGTGATCAGTGACTGATCTATCCTTGCCCCGGCTGTTATATAGGCAGCCGATTGATGGCAGCCGGATGGGTGATCAGTGATTGATCTAACCTTAACCCGACTGGTGCAATAAAATGCCCCTGAAATGGCCAACTGTTTACTCCCAACAGTAGACAGGCAGCCGTTTCATTGGTGGCCGGATGGGTGATCAGTGACTGATCTATCCTTGCCCCGGCTGGTACAATAACATAACGGATGGGTTGTATTTAGATAATACCCAGTTGCCGTAACCCCCTAGGAATTTCATTTTGCCGGATGGACCTCTTTTGGATCCTTGCCGGGTGAAACCCAGATACGATGGATCATTTCTAACGGCTGTAAGTTTCTTTTAAGAAAATGTCGTTTGATTTATTGGATCGCTAGAACAATGTACCACCCGGAAGGGAGCTGTTCTCTTCAACGATTTCACCCGGATGGGTGTCGCCGGATGACTGCTCTTTTTGGAGCAGTGGTTTTTAACAAGTGTTCTTCCGTCTGTGATCTTGCACTAGACAGGTGCAAATACAATTGTATGAATGGAAACTATATGCTTTTACATTTCAATACTATTTACAAAAAATTACAAAATCCTTAGAAGTAGTACTTTTTCAAGTTATCTACATTCCAGGTACGAGGCAGCCGCATTCCGTCTGGGGTTTCCAGGCGGTATGTGCCGTTTCTAACTTCTTCAAAAATCCGGTAGGGTCCTTCCCAATTTGGGGTCAGTTTCCCTTGTTCGTGTGCCCTACCGGTTGCTTCAAGCTTCCGTAAAACAAAATCTCCAACTTTGAGGGGGCGTTTACGCACCCTTTTGTTGTAGGCCCTCGTCATTCGCAGACGGTAGATTTTATGACGCAAGGAGGCGTTGCCCCTTCTTTCAGGAAGAGTATCTAATGCCAGGCGCATGGATTCCCAATTTGCCTCTTCATCATATAACATGATTCGAAGTGTTGGCTCATATAATTCAATGGGAAGTACCGCCTCGGTGCCATATGCCATAAGGAATGGAGTTTCACCGGTTGACCTCTTCTCAGTAGTTCTGATAGACCAAAGGACATGAGTCAACTCTTCTGCCCAAAGACCGCCTGCCTTTTCAATCTTTTTCTTTATGCCGCCTGAGATGAGCTTATTAGAAGCTTCAACTTGACCGTTTGCTTGAGGACGACCAACGGATGCAAAGTAATGGGAAATCCCTTGATCTTGCAGCCAAGTCTTTAGGACAGGCGTTTCGAACTGGGGACCATTGTCAAAAACCATGGACATTGGTACACCAAACCGGGTGATGACATTTCTCCAGATGAAGGAGATGACATCCTTAGTTTTGATGCCTTTTACCGCCTCGGCCTCAACCCACTTGGTGAAGTAATCAACAGCCACCAAGATGTATCTTTTGCTGCCTGGGGCAGGAGTGTATGGCCCCAAAATATCCATGCCCCATTTTGCAAAGGGAATTGGGCTGTGAATAGCTGTTAAATCAGTTGCCGGTTGTCTGATCATCCGGCCAAACCTCTGGCACTTGTCGCATCTTTTAACCATATCTAATGCATCCGCCTCAAGGGTAGGCCAAAAGTATCCTTGCCGCCTGGCTCTTTTGGCTAGGGTCTTCCCGCCAATGTGCGATCCACAGAAGCCGGCGTGCAGATCTTCCAGTATTTCCTTTCCCCTTTCTGGGGTAACACATTTGAATAGCGGCTGCAAGTAACCCTTCCGGAAGAGTTCACCTTTGTGCATTACGAAGCTTAATGCTCGTAGCTGTCTTTTAAGAGCAGCCGCCTCTGATGAGGCACCCAGTAGAGTGCCGTCTACCAGGTAATCCCGGATGGGATCCATCCAAGTGGAGCTTCGATCTAGAACTCCAATGGGGTCATGTTCAATGCTTTTCTTTTCCATGACTTCCCATAAGACTGATCTAGGCGTATCACATGTGGCGGATGAGGCGAGTTTTGATAATGCATCCGCCTGATTATTCTCGGATCTGGGTACTTGACTTAGATTGAATTCATCAAATGCCCCAGCCTCCTCTTTGACCGCCTAAAGATACTTAATCATCACCGGATGGGTGGCCTCATAGTCACCGTTGTACTGGCTAACGATGAGTTGAGAATCAGAACAGGCGTCAACTTTCCTTGCCCCGGCTGCCTTACACATGCGGACACCGGCTAGCAGCGCCTCGTATTCAGCTTCATTATTCGAAGCTTGAAACTTGAATTGTAGAGCGTAC